ACAGATTATATTTGAAAATATATAATTAAATAAACTAGAAATATTTTTATCACACTTTCAGAAGGGCAATGATAAATTATGTTTTAATTCACATTTCAATCGAAACTTTACAAGTTTTTGATTAATTTAAAAAAATTGGTCGTTGAACTTGAGCAATACTTTCTAGATACTGAACAAATTTCTCTTATTTTTCTAAAAGATATTTTCTAAAAGAGTATGCATTTCTCTACAAAATCAGATTAATTATAAATAACCATTCATTTTACGTATAACTATCTCTCGCCTTATTTTTTAGTTTTTAAATTCCTATTACGTATTTATTGTATTGTTGCCAGTCTATTATACACTCACACACAGCAACTATCATTTGTCAATCGTGTTTCATCGAATTATTATCAATTGTTCTGTTGTAAAATACAATGGATATTGATTCTAGTAACGGTAGCGATAATAGTGGTCATGGTGATCTTCGTTTTGGTACTAGCTGCAAGCGAAAGAAAGCAGATAAATGATTGCACATTCTCATAAATACTGTGAATACGCTTATTAACGATGGTTTTTTTTGTTAGGAAGGTTGATAAATAATATAAAGAATACCCATAAATACGAAGAAGTACATGATTAGAAGAAAGATGAAGATGAAGATGCTGATATCAATATCAATGCAGATGATAACATTGAAGAAACTTTTATTAAATAGAGTCGTGTTAAACAGTTCTCGTTGAGTTAGTAACTAGAGTAGTTAATAGTTACCAAACATCTTACTTTTCTTTGTAAATAAGTTGTTGTCTATGCAAAATAAATAAACTTTAAAATCTATAAAAATTCATGTCACACTTTGTTTTACATATCTTTTAACTAATGTCTGTTAGAAAGTCAATTCCATGATCTGCTAATTAATATTGTTATACTATTAGATATTCTATACTGCTCTCTAACAAATACCTAGCTGCAGTCGAATATTAAGAAAAAAAAGTCATTGCAAGAGAACTGATCAATCAAATAACCCTTCATCCTGAATTTCACGCCAAAGTACTATAGTCTTAATCATTACTAAAATGCTTAAGTTCTGAATAACCACTTTTTTTCAGTGTCCTATGTTTTTCATGCAAAGTACTTAATACTTTCTATCAAAACTGAGACGGATAATATGCTTTATTTACTGTAAAAGAATTACTGAGAAACTTTATAAAGTATGAAAGTGAATTAACTCTTGCAAGAATCACTTTCTCATCTATTTGGTTTTGAGGAAAAGATTTTTCTTCAAATGAGAAAAAATATGAGCAAAAAAAAAGTATGTTACAATAGTTTTCTGCACGATGTTGGATATATCAAACTTTTTTCTCATTCAAAATTAATTTCAAAAAAGGTATTTTTCGTATGTATTTTGAAGTTCAGACATTGTTTATTCAACTGAAAGAAGAAGAAATTTTCTATGGCTTTTCTGAGCAGAGAACCATTGATCGAGATATCGGCAACTACTTTTACACGGTACGTTATCACGATAGACAATCCAATAGTATTGTATGACAACTTAATAGGAAAAAAGTTTAAATACTTCTCCTTGTTGACGTTCTGAATAAGTCCATGGAATATCCTCTTTATTAATATCATTATTAAATACAACTTGAGAAGATTCTTTTTCATTATCAACATTTGTTTGTCGTAATAATTCCATACGATTTTTTAATTGTTCAATTTCTTGTTTTGATGCTTGTAATTGATTTTGTAAAATTGATATTGAACGTTCATGATCAATTTTTATTGCAGTTATTTGTTCCTTAAATATAAAATGAAAACATTTATATTTTAGAAAATAAATCAAATATTACTTTAAATGTTGTTGAAAGTGTATCATTTTCAAGTTTAACATTTTTCATCATATCATGACTATCATTCATTCGTTTTAAACATTCATTTTCCATCTTCTCGAGTTCCATTTGATGCTTTAAAAAATGACAAAAAAAAACCAAACAAATCTTTATGATTAGATAAAAAAAAGGTTTTTTTTTTAAAACTTGTTTTCGAAGATCTTGTTCACGTTTTCTTGATTCATTAACTATTTTAGTTTGTACTTCATTCAAACGATCTTGTTCTTTCTGTAATATTTCATTTTCGGATTTTAACAATTGAATTTTATTACTAAATATATATATATTCATTTAGAATTGAATAAAAAAAAAGACAAAAAGAAATTTTCTGTACTTTGCTTCTTGAAGATTTATTTTTAATTTTTCAATTATTTCTTCTAATTCAGTTTGTTTATCAGCTATTGATGGCATACGTTCACGTTGAGTAGATTGTTGTTGTTTCAGGACACTTTGTGCTCGAATCTAGATTAATGAACAAGAAGAAAAGAATGTAAAAACAAATAATTCCAATTATAATAGGAAATTACAAAAAATACTATTGTATTACTTTACAAAATTGTCAACAAATACTACACTATAATTGAGAAATACAAATAAAAAGCCGAACAATTGTTAATCCTTATGTCACTGCTGTGGACATGTGCTGAAACAAGATATTAGTTATTCTTTTTGTTCTATACTATGTATATCGTTCTACTTTAGTATTATAGTTATTAATTAATTAGTTTTCATTAACAGAATTCAATAATGATAGTAAATATTTTAGCAACAGATATTTTATATATCTTTTTTGTGCTGATTCAAAATTCAATCTGCAACTAACATCAATATCGGAGACCCATGAAACGTTTCATAAATATATATAAATGCAAGTCTCTATGTAAATGAGAAAAAGGTTGATATACATTATTATCAATCAAATTTTGTATGTATTTTTTAATAAAAATACAGAAATGAAGAGTCATTCAAATCTAATAATATTCATAAGAGCAAAGAAAAAAATATTCTTTTCACTGAATTCACTCAATCTGTCTCTGAATCATTCTATGTTATATCAAATATCGATATCCATATAAAGACAAAAATAAAATAAAACGGCCATATCTATCTGTGAAAGTCTGAAGATTTCTAAAACAAATTAATTTAGAAGTAATGGGAATGTGAGAGCAGTTAACACATGGATTTTTTTAAAGGAAAGTCCTCATTTTCTCAGTTACAAATATTCAAGTTAACATTTTTTTTTTGAATCTGTATCAACTCTAATCATTATTTGTCATTAATGATTTTAGACATCAATGAAAAAAAGGTGAATACTTCTAAAATGAAAGTCGACCTGATTATTAGTTTTCGTTGTTTAATCAAATATGAATTAGCTATCAACATCTATATCATAAGTCAGTCAATAGAATTCACTACAGCTAGACACTTATACGACATACCAGATTTTGCTATTCTTCTCTCGAATACTTCATAGAAACTTATAATCTTAAGTAAGATATGATTGTTCGTCTCTTATACTTACTTTATAATTATTAAAATCATCTTGAAGCGTTTCACTTAAAAATAAATAAAGTTATGCAAAATGTTTCTATTAATAAAAAAACAACTAACTAATCCTGTTTAGCTATATCCAACTCATGTTTTGCAATATGTAGATTTTGTTCAAGTAAATTAATTGTTCTTTGATTTGTGTCACTTTGATTATTTAATCGTTCTAAAGATAAATGAAAAATATTAATTTAATAAAAATCGAATTAAAATACTATACCAGCTAATTGTTGTTTTTCAGAAAGTAATTGACTAATAGTTACTTTATTAGTATCTAATTCAATTTGTAATTTATCAAATAATGTTCGTAGATTGTCATCATTTTGATATCTTTGTTTTTCAAGATCTTTTGCATCTTGTAATTCTTTTTTAGTTGTATCTAATAATATTTTAATTTTATCAGCACGTTCTTGAGTTTGTAATTTTAATTGTTCTAAATTTTCAATTTCTTGTTTAAGAGAAAGATTTTTTTCATTAACATTTGTTAAATCATCACGTAAATCTTGAATTTCTTTATCTTTATGTGTTAAATTATCTTTTAGTGTTTTAATTGTTTTTTCATAATCAGCTAATTCAAGATCGATTAAACTTTGTTTAGGTTGTTGAGTTTTTTCTTGTAATTCTTTTTTAAGACGTGATAATAAAATTTTCATTTTTTGTTGTTTTTCTTGTAGATCCTATGAAAAGAAATTAATTAAATGAAATTAATTTTATATAGAAAAACTTATGACTTACTTGAATAGTTGCATTAGATTGAACTATTTGATTTTCGAGTTTCTGATTTAATTCACTTGTAGTTTGATTCAATTGTTCATTTTCTTTTTGAGATTTTTCTAATTCAGATCGAAGATTATTCGTTTGAATTTGTTCATTTTCAAGAATTAATTTTTTTCTTTCAATAGATTCTAATTGATGATTTTTAATATCATTTTTAGTGGTTTCTAATTGTTGTTTAAGACTTTCAATAGTCTAAAACGAAACAAATTTTGAGTTCTTTATTATATGAATTATTGAAACATGTTCAAAACTCGCTATCAAAATTAATAAAAGATATTTTTTCTCAGACTTAGTGCTATAATTTATGCTGGAATAAAGTCTAAGAGATTCACTAGTTATAAAATGTATATTAATGGAAATGAAAGTTAATTATTATTGTAGTTAACTTCTATAGCATACTTCTCTATGAGAAAATTCTGTCTTATTAAAATGAAGAAGATGAGAAATGACAACAAGACTAAGAAATAAGAATCCATGTCTGTAAAGATGAGTTTTGTCAATACTGTATCTGATAGTTAATTATTTGCCCAGTTATTGTGAACGAAATAGAGTTGTGAAGTTTTGAAAGTCACGGAACTTTGACATAATTTTAATCTAGGTAATTGGCTTAATTCTTTTTGATTAGAGACCATAATAATAAGCAAAAATTTGTAAATTTTTTCTTCGCTTCTTTGAATTCCTTCCATAGTTGATGAGTTGAATATAGTAATTTAATGTCATGTTCACTACGTTGACATTCATCATTTGAATTCGAAAATAAACGAATATATTGAACTTGATAAATTGATCGTCTATCTTGGCAATGAATGAGACTCAATGAAACTTAGAAAATCCTAAATAGGTTTGGATTTATACATTAGCCAGCCAGAACTATAACTGTTTTAGTGAGTGTTTGGCCTTTGAGTCAACTATTCATGAAACATTCAATTAAGAGATTTTTATCTGAAATTTTGTTCATAGATAGTTCTCACAGTCATTAGAATATTCTAAAAATAATGCGTTTATTTCAGTTGAAATTTTTGGATATTCTAATAACTGTAAAATTTATCTATGAACAAGATTACACATGAAAATTTCTTAGTTGGGTTTTCCATGAATAACTGGCTCACACGACTGAAAACTTACTAAAATACTCATATAGACAAAATAGAGATTCACACAACGTCCGACCATTGGATATATTTCCTCGTCAGTCAAAAGATAAGTTAAGAATAATTATACAAAAACAATTTGTTTTTAACCTTAACTGAATATAGTATTTATTAACTGATAGCTGACTAAATAATTTCGATTCCATCACTGTTTTAATTATCCATAGAAACTACATAGGAGAAAGTTACACAAAAAAAAGTAGTCAACATTGTAATCAAGCAAACTTTTTAATAGTATTCTTTTAATTTTTCTGAACTTATTCAAACGGTTACTCAAATATTTCATCGACAAATTTTAAAGACATACTTGTTGTAATTCATTTTCCATTTGAACTTTTTCTTGATAACTTTCTTCTTTAATCTTTTTCATTATTTGATTAGAATTTAATTTATCGCTTTCTAAATCTTGTTTTAAATTATTAATAGTCTATATCAAAGAAAATTAATCTATGAAAAATAAAAAACAAAATTTTTTTGTTTTACTTGTAAAAGTTCAGATTTTTCTATTTCAAAATTTTGTATTTTTTCCATAAATGAACTAGTATCATTTATAAATTTAGTTTTTTCATCTTTTATTTGATCAAATTTTATTTTTAAACCTTGATATTCATTATTTATTGTTTGTAATTGTTTATCCAAATCATCAGCTTGTTTAGTTTTTTCAAAAAATAATTCATTATTTTCTTTTAAATCATTTTCTAATTGTTTATTGATATTTTTTAATTTCTTATTTTCATTTCTTTCTGTTTCAAGTAAATCACTTAATTGTTGTGTTTGTTTTAATGATGATGAATAACGTTCATCTTGAATTTGATTTGTATTATCAAATTTTTGTTGTTGTTGTTTTATTTCAATTTGATATTTTTCTTGCTGATCTTGTAATTGAAGATTTGTTCTATTAAAATTTTCTTTTAATAAATCATATTTAGATTTGATTTGTTCAAGATGAATACATTTTTGTTGAAATTCTTCATATGATGATTCAAGTTGATCAAACTTCGTTTTATCTAATAGGAAAAAAATAGAAGGATGAAAATTAAAAGAAAATAGTTGATAAAGACAAACCGATAGTTTTTTGATTAATAATATTTTGTAATTCATTTGTTTTTTCACATTTTTCTGTATATTGTTCTTTTAATTGTTCAAAAGAACGAAGATTTTCTTCGAGAGTAGCAATTTCACGCCGTTGTTCTTCATTATCTATTGATAATTGATCAAGTTGGAAACGTACTTGCACAAGTTCATGCTCAATTTGTTCGGGAACAAATTTACAATCGTTTACTTTTAATCGAATGTATTGATTAGTGCTCTAGAAAAAAAAATTGTATGACATTATACAATGTTTTTAACATTTTCACTGTTTCTTCTTTTTATTGAATTAAACTTCTTGAATTCAGTTTTTGAATAAAATTGGATCTCATCTCTGAATATTTCATGCTCCCCAAAAATCACATTGTACTAATCAAGATTGATTAGGTTGTGGCATTTAAGAAACGAATGAACTACCGAGAAAACATATTGAACAGTCGAACGTCGTTCGACTGCATGTTATGACTACAAGCAAGTCTTAATGAGACTAAGAAGAGCTTGACGATTGAACAATTATGGCTGTTGATATGAAATTTTTACTGAGGGAAGGTATTTTCGAAAGATTTTAAAACACAGAGTTTTGAGCAGCTGGAATTATATTTATACGTACGTTGCACAGTCATTCGATAGTTCTAAGAGTTTCAAAGAAATGAACATATCTTTTTCGGGATATTCAATATCTAAAAACACAGTCGTTTACCATAGGAGGACACAGTAATCAAGTCTACTTGGAAATTGCATATCTATAGAGAGACATGATTGTTTTTGTTGAAACTTTCAGAACTATCTATTGACTATCAAATTTGCCTATAGACATAATTTCATCTCGTAACTCTTTGTTTCGGATTTTTCGGAGATGACTTGTTCTCAGTAAACATTTCGTTAAGATGGTCATAACTCTTCAATAGTAGATCATGAGCACGAATCCATTTAAGCGTTTTTTAGTCTCACCAAGACCTACTCGTAGCTTTAATGCGAAGTTGAACGACGTGCGACAGTTCGATATATTCTCTCATGAGCGAATGTTTGTTAAACTATTGAATATAAAGGTCTATGATTATAAAATTCACGCTAATCTGAAGAAAAACTCTATGAAACTTGTTGTTTCAATGCCTGTAAGGATACATTCAATAGCTTTTTTTTTTTACATATGAAGTTCTACAAGGCAGATTTGACTGTTGATTGAATGTTAAGCAGGTAGTGTGAGTATTAAAGTTGATAGGATATTTACAAGTTGATCCTCTTTTTTCTTTCTATCTGTGAAATTAATAGAAAATTCTTCTAAGTTTCCTAATTTTCTTTTCTTCTCATTCTATTCTGTTTGTCGAACTTCTACCTGATTAATGGGTTTCGCCAGACAAAGTTCCCAATCATCTGAATCATTTGATTGATTTATCCATGAATGAAGATGTTCAAAAAGTGTATCTAATCCAGGATGATCTTGTCGATGAATTAATAATCGACATTGTTCATAGTCATCAGTTTGAGTAATTGAAAGAAGTTCCTTATTTATTGATGAATTATTTAATATATTATTATTTTGTAAAATTTGACATCTTTCAAGTAATAATGAACATAAACGAAGAAGATTTTCAAGATTTAATTGATTTGAAAAGTCTTCATCACTATAATTTGTTATTCCAATTGAATGAAGTAATGTTGGAATGTCTGATAATACTTTTGATATATGTTGTGCTTTGTTATCAGTAAAATTAAGAAAAGAATCGATACGTTGCGAAACAATTTCATCGAAATTTTCATTTGATTGATGCATTGGAATTTCTGATAATTGTTGTTGAATTTTCTTTAATTCAATGTTTTCTGTTTCAAAATTTTCTATTTGTTTACAATAATTATTCATTTTTTCTTCCATTAATTTTTTATCCGTATCGAATGCACTCTGTTTTGATCTTAAATCATTGAGTTCTTCCTCCATGAGCTGTTTATCTTTGTCAAATGTACTTAATTTTGATCTTAAATCATTGAGTTCTTCTTCCATTAACTGCTTGTCTTTATCAAATGTACTTGATTTTGATCTTAAGTTGTTGAATTCTTCTTCTAATAATTGTTTATCTTTATCACATGTACTTAATTTTGATCTTAAGTTATTGAGTTCCTGTTCCATTGATTCTTTATCTGTATCACATGAACTAGATTTAAATCTTAGATCATTAATTTCTTCTTCCATCAACTGTTTATCTTTATTAAATGTGTTCAATTTAGATCTTAAATTATTGAGTTCTTCTTCCATTAACTGTTTATCTTTGTCATAACCTTCTTCTAATAATTGTTTATCCTTATCATATGAACTGGATTCCGATCTTAACTTATTGAGTTCTTCTTCCATTAGATATTTATCTTTATCAAGTGTACTTAATTTTGATCTTAAGTTATTGAGTTCCTGTTCCATTGATTCCTTATCTGTATCACATGAACTAGATTTTAGTCTTAGATTATTGATTTCTTCTTCCATTAACTGTTTATCTTTATCATATGAACTGCTTTCAGATCTTAACTTATTGAGTTCTTCTTCCATTAGTTGTTTATCTTTATTGAATGAACTGGATTTTAATCGTAAATCATTGAGTTCTTCTTCCTTTAATTGTATATCTTTATCAAGTGTGTTTAATTTTGATCTTAATTCATTGAGTTCCTGTTCTATTAATTGTTTATCCTTATCAAATGAATAGGCTTTTAATCTAAGATCATTCAGTTCTTCTTCCAATAGTTGCTTATCTTTATCAAATGTACTCGATTTTGACCTTAAGTTGTTTAGTTCTTCTTCCATTAATTGTTTTTCCTTATCAAATGTACTTGATTTGGATCTTAAGTCATTGAGTTCCTCTTCCATTGACTGTTTATCTTTATTAAATGTGTCCAATTTAGATCTTAAATCATCGAGCTCTTCCTCCATTAACTGTTTATCTTTATCGAATGAACTAGATTTTAATCTTAGTTCATTGAGTTCTTCCATTAACATTTTATCATTATCTAATGTGCTCAATTTCGATCTTAAGTTAGTGAGTTCTTCCTCCATTAACTGCCTCTCTCTATCAAATACACTTGATTTGGATCTTAAATCATTGCATTCCTCTTCTATTAATTGTTTCTCTTGATCAAATGAACTGACTTTTAATCTTAAATCATTGATTTCCAGTTCTAGACTTTGAATAGAATCTTTTTGTTGATGTTTTTCTTGTTCAATTGATTGCTTTTCATTTTGAAGATTTTCAATAGTATTTTGAGTTTCATTTAATTTATTGATGAAATCTTGCACAGCATTAGTAGATGATGAACGAAGATTTGAGAGTTCAGTTTGGAGATGCTATATAACAAACAAGATATATATATATATAAGTATTTGAATCGAAAGTAATATGATTGTAGTTACCGATGTTTCATCTTGTAGATTTTTACATGATGATTTCAATGATTCATTTTGCAACTGAAGACATTCAGATGATTCGCGTAATGTCTATAAAAAAAAAATGAAGTAAAACAGAGAAATTGACGAATTGATTCTACATTAAGTTCTTGTTGAAGTTTCGATTCATTGATTTTATACTGGTCGAGATTAACGCTTAAATTTTTCGACTTTATTTGTTCATCTTCGAGTTCATTACGAAGTTGCTAGAAAAAATACGATAGTGAAAGAAAAAAGTTTTTGCAAATTGTATTATAACCTCCTCCGTTTGACATAAGCTTAAATTAGAAGTTTGTAAATCACTTAATTTAGATTCAAGCTTTTTCTTTAATATAATTTGATTTTTAACTAATTTCATTAATTCATCTTGTGACATTGATTCAAGCTGAAATATTTCAAAAAAAAAAAAAAAAAAAAAACTTTTTCTTATAGAATATATTTTTGATCATACAAACCTTGTTACTTGATGCTGTTTTTTCATCATTTGTTGGTTTTCCATCGTCACTCATCATAGATTTTCTGTTTTGTTTTCTTTCTTATATGAGATGAGCTGAAACTTAATTATAACGAACCTTTTTCATAGTTCATCTAAAAAAACAAAGTGCAACTAAACAGTGATTGATCTATACACAACACTAAGAGTGATATTTCTCTTGTAGCATTTACTTTTTTCGTACATATAACAACAAGAAAAAAAATATCTGTTCTTTATATTGGATAATACGAAAAAAACATAAAGTGCTAAAAAGAGCAGCAGCCAAATAGACAATATTCAAACTCATTCAGATTACAAATACATTTTTTTATGCAAAACAAACGAAATTCTGTTTTGTATTTCATTCATTAATTTTTACGGTTCGACGAAAAACTTTCATTTCTTCTATCATGTCAGCTGACAACTATTCTCATTTCCATATCAATGTTTCAATCAAAATGACTGATACAAAAAAAGCACCAAAATACTCAGTTATTTTCATCAATTTGTTCGGGAATAAAATATAAACAATTATAAAAAGTGAAAGGAAAAAGTATTTATCACATTATAATAAGTAAAAATAATTTACTCAAGATTGTCATCGTGACTAGAACCTAATGATTCAGAATTATTTTCATCATTCTCTTCATCGAATGAAGTTACATCAATACAACGACCAACTTTAATAAATTCTAAACCCTGAAAATAAATTTTATTTTTATTTAATCTTTTTATTGTTTTTCAATCTTACTTTCCAATGTTTCGGTTTGTCAACTAGTGGATTTTCTCTTAAATCAACTTTTGTCATATTTGAAAACATTAATAATGTATCATCATCTATTTCAGCAATAGCATTTCGTTGTAAACAAACAATATTTAATGATGAAATTTTTCCAATGACAGATGGAACATGAACAAAATGATTTCCATTTAAATTAAGATATGATAATTTTAGACAATCTTGTAAACAATCTGGTAAATCATTTAATTCATTATCTTCAATACTTAACCAATAAAGTTCTAATAATTGTCCTATGTCTGTTGGTAATCTTTGTAAATGATTTGATTTTAATGATAATTTTTCTAATTGATTTAAATTATTAAATATATTTAATGGCATATCATATAAATTTATATTTGTTAACCATAATTCATGAAGATTTTTTAATTGACCTAATTCTAATGGTATTTGACCAAGTGGATTATGACTAAGATTTAAACGTATTAATGATGTTAAATTCCATAATGTATCTGGTAAGATTGTTAATTGATTGTGTTCTAATGAAAGAGTTTCTAAATTAATCATGGATGATAATTGTTCTGTAGGCGGAATAATAAGTTCATTATTATTTAAATAGAGATTCTGAAGAAATGAACATAAACTAACAGACAGTGGAACAGCACGTAATGAACGATTACTTAAATTTAAACTTGTTTCTTTTATATCGATTATATGTTGAATATATTTTTCAATATCATCGTCATCCATTTTTTTTTTCCTATTGAAATATCAGATCTAGAAATATAATTTATTTTATTATATGAAATTTTTTAGATAATGATAAATGAAGAGAAAATAACTGATGACAGAAGCTTGCAGACAGAAATAATGTTGTAAAAAGTTTCAAGATTTTGTTTTACAGTCATAATTCTAAGAGAGCGATCGGTTTCATTCAAGCGATTTGAAGGTTCTGAATATGCGACGACACACAATAGAAATAAGCAAACAGTAAAAAATGGATTTTTTCAACACTCGAATAACAAAAATGACACAAAAAAGATGGCGACACATACTTTTGACTATTCGATATATATCAACAAAAGCAAAAAAGTTTAATGAAAATGAAACATAATATTCATCATTATCTTTGAACACTTAGACAAATTTCTGTAATAAATAAAATTGTTGAATTTATACACTTGATCTTAAATGCACGTCTGTTACCGTCTAATCGAAACCGCATGCCGTATTTTCCTAGTAGCTAGATACTAACTAATGAAGATACGAAAAAAGGTTCTTTTTTTTAAATTGACCGATTCTATAATGAGAGAAATATCTAATACTGAAATTAAAACCGTAACCATTGTTTCTAAGTTAGAAAACATTTCATAATATTCATTTATTCTATAAAATTGGAAAACTGAAACCATGCTTCAATTAACATCGAATAGGTAGCTTTCGAGGGTGTTTGTTTCTAAAACAAGGTGCCAATGTGTTTTGCATCCCTAAAATTACATTCAATATACTTTTTATGAGCATGATTCATTTATGACAATATTTGACTTGAGAAAATATAAAAAGAGAACAAATAACAATGGCAACTAGCAATCTATTTGTATGAATCATCTACAAACTCTCGACAATCGTTGTTTTTATTTTTATTTTTTTGCTCAACATGCCGTTTTAACTAGACACTGTGCAACATTTGTTTTCAATACTCCATATGTGTATATTCTGCTGCTACCAAAACTTAGCATGGCTGGTGGAAATATTGATTCCTTGTCAATGTTTGATATTTGGCGAATTTTCGACGGTTAACGTGCTGTCGTTACTAAAGATTTCTCAATTATATCAATCTATGGCGAAATGGCAAAGTTTTCATTTATAGTTCATTGTTTATGTGGTTGAAAAATTACTGTTCCAAACGGTGAAAAAGCTTGTGCTGTTCAGTAACCAATCTCAATGTTGTTTTTTCTTATGTGTTAGACACTCACGGCTATATATTGTTCTTGTTGACGTAGTTAATGAATATTATGTTCGTACCAGCGATTCTAATGAATAAGAGCAAACTATATTGACGAACATGTTTACTAGTGTTCACTGACATTATCATCTCATTTCTCTGTTTTGATCATTAAGAATCAGATGAACTTCTTTGTCGAATTCAGGATGCTGATTTAGTGATACTTTTATCAGTGAAAACTAGCATGAACTAGCAAATAGTTTATGTATATTTTAACTTTTTCTGAATAATTTTTTCCTCATTTTGAAGTACGATATTAGCATAGTTGTTAGTTCTGTTTTCGGAACAATAGGATGTTTATGTATCCAAACTGTATTCTTTAAGTCAACCTCTTTTGCAACTGTGGCATCATTATCTTCTGTTGATTTTGTTCTGATACTTTTTTAACTGATGCCAATAGTATTCATCCACATACTACCACAAGAGTAAAAAACCAATTCTCGCCGATCATAGCAGCGGATTTGAACTCGACGAAGATGTATATTTTTCAATTTTTTGATGAACTGAATTTATTGCTAGTTGATACTGATGGTTTTGTGAGCAATGCAAGCAATGATTTTTTTCCGAATTATACATGAGTATTTTTCAATCTACTTACTTTTATCCCTTCATCTCGCAGATGTATTTAATGATATTCGATTCACCAGCAAACTTGTGTCAGAAGCCGTTGTAAAACGCTGATTTCACGTCGAATTCTCTTTTTTTTTCCTCGCTATTGTTTTCCCTGTTTTTTATAATCAGTACTATTGATCATATCAACTGTATTTTGGACCATGTCCGTGCTCAGGAATGCTTTTGTTTCCATTGCTTTTCTTTGACTTTTTTGCTACAGTTTTTATTTCACTTTTTACTTTCATAATAATTTCTGTTTTGCTTTGTAGCTTAATTAGCCTATTTGACATTAAATTTTTTATCTTTTTTCCATGGTAAAAGTACTCTTAAAGTTCTGATTTGAAATGCCATCTCAAACGAACATGATACTGATAAAAATCGGAAAAAAATACTATTAAATTGGATATATATTTTTCTAGTCGGTTTGTAAAATATCTATTAGCAACACTAGAAGACTGAAAGCCCTATCTTCAGCAATTTTTTCTTCCAATTCTGAATTTCAGTATCAATGAACCGTAGATTCAAAAGCTAACCAACCATATTTAATAGCAGATACTCCATCTAATCATCGCAAATATTATAAGTGGGAAAAAATGTTAAATACTATGCAACTAATTGAATTTTTATTTTAGAACAATAAATTAGAAATAAAAACGAACAGAATTTTTTTTGTTAATTTTTCTCAATGTTCATGTAGTTGGTCGTTTCTTTTGCTTATCACTATGACGTCGATTCTTGAACCATTGCTGCAAAAGACAAACAGATAGAGAATTATAATGTTAACTTGTAACAAAGAAAGCATCAACTTACACGAACTTTCTCAATAGAAACATTCAATTGTACAGATAATTGTTGAAGAACATCGATGGATGGATACGGTTCTTGAAAATAGGCTCGATGAAGTATTTCAAGCTCATGTTTTTTGAAGCATTGGTGTCGACGAAGTGGTGTTCGATCAGAATCAGTCGGAATACTGGTGTCTATAAGAATAAAAATAAATAAATGCAGATAGGAAACATGAATGTTAAATACTTATTGAATAAATTAGAAAACATCTAATACTTACGTCTTTGATCAGAAGAAGAGAATACTTGTGGTTGTTGTTGATAATATGAATATGGAACAGGAGACATATTCATCGATTGTATTGGAGATGAGTAGAACAGATGCGGTGAATGAACAGGACATGTAGTACACGATGTTGAATAAAAATATGCCGGCGTTGATGGTGAATAATATTCAAAAGAATAGTCTTTGGAAGACGATGACAAATAGCTATTGTTCATGGTTATTAGAATGACTATTAGAGATATCGAAGTGTGTAAATGTTCTAGTGTACATTCATTTTATACTAGATTTTGTTCTGTATTAACATAATATATGACGAATGTTTCATTTGCAGGAATATATTGTTTAACAGTGTTCTTAATTGATAATCATCATGAAGAAAGTTTTAATCATTAGCATGTCAATTAACACATATTATCAACTCATATGGTTATTATCGATAAACATGTCACTATTATCATATGAAGATTAGTTCATATATTAGAATTTTGTGACAATGCAAAAATTAATATGTATTAATGAAAAATAGTTTTTAATAGTAGTTGAATGTAAAAATACTGGTAAACGCTAAAAAATATAAATATGGCATTGTGCACATTGCATATAATTCTCGTTCTATAATATAATAGTTTCTTTTTATCTATTTGTTCACTTTTGGAATTTATATCTATTGTGAAAAAGACAAATGGATTGAAGATATTTTAGCGTTCTTGATTTGTGGCATATATCGAAAGAAGAGCACATTAAGGTTCCTGCTCACAGGCTTCAGCAAAATCAAAGTATGACAACTTTGTAAGTGTCTCTTGATTTTAGTCACTTTAAAGTTGTGTATATAATGGATAAAATGCATTAGTTCCTATACCATGTATTGTTCTATATAGTTGGCAACAATGATTTTGTTCTTATTATCACGTTCGCTGCTATTGAATACATAAGATGGCATTCGGTTTTCACTGAGCTGGTAATTGTGGTGCGACGCCAGTTCAAATATTGATCATCGAAAAAATCGGTATCTCATAAAAACGAACGATTGTTTCTACGATTGAAAGCGAAATGCTCTACTCGAAAACACATTACGTTTTTAAATGAAATAAATGAACATGGCTTGTTTTTATATGAATATATTATAAATGAAAATAAAGACAGCTTTGAAAGAGTGTCTTTTTTTTCTTTAAATTTTATTTGTTTAACTTTCGGTTTTTTTTTTGACTATCATCAGAACATAAATATTTATATAAACTTAATTACTATAAGCACAATCGATAGATATTAATCATTAGACTACGGTCCGGTCTGGTCGGTTTAGACTGGTACCAGTACCATGGAGGAGAAAACTATCGGTTGCAACACTGAGTCTGAGTATTGATTAGCAGATGACCCATATCCACATTCACACCTACATTCACAGTCACCTACGTCCTCAAATTTTGATTAGGAAGAATAATATAATAATTTTCTGTCACACCGATAGAAGCATTATGCCACATACACCTAAAAAATATGAGAACTGGATATTCTGATATGTATAAGAATAAACTTTTTTTTCACGCTATATTTAGTTAATAGGTTTGTTGAAATTTTGTATAATTATTATAGATGTTTTTCACTGAATAGAGCGGAGAGAGCGATTATATGTCACCAAAGAAAAGACGAAACCTAGGATATGGTTAGTTTTGGTATCTTTCGACCAAATAATGCTACGATTCATTTAGCTTACATACTACTTTACGTAGATAAGACAGAAGCTGTCGCTATGAACCATGACAACAGTTTTATTGAGTTTGCTATCATCTGATTTTTTTAATTTTCTTCATCACAACATATAAATGAAAATATTAGAGGCTTCAATCTTCGCACTAAAATATGATTAGTTTTATCAAATTAAACTAAGCTTCCGTACAATCATGTCTCAAATTTATAAATTAGATGAGGCTGAGCCTATTAGAACCAATTTTGGGTGCGACTCAGACCTTACCCAGCCTATATTTTCCGCCGCCTATGATTTCTTTATCTTTCAATATGTTCTTTTCCTTCAACAATCAAATTGATGTATTATAAAAATATTCATTTATTTCTCATTTCTTTTTATAACTCCGATCTCTAATTAACGACTTTATAGTGTTAGAATAAAATTGAATCGAAAAACAAAACAGGTTTATGCTGTATTTTCATTCGATAAATATTTTTATAGAAATTTTTGCTTTTTTTTCTACTTGTAAATTAAAGAGTTCCTTTGGACGCATATCGGTCGTTCTTTTACAATCTTCAAAACTATGTATATAATAGATGACACTCACAGAGATAAACAAGAACTCATGAATTATTTAATTCCATTGACACATATACTCTGCTAGCAATCATGGTTATATGGATTGCTCATTTTCACATATTAGGAAGTTAACAAGCGTCATATTTTCAGTTTGTTTTTACTTGTAAAAACCTTCTTCTACAGTTTATTTAAATGTATTATTTTATCAAATTTATAACATTCTATTGTACGCTTCTTAGTTACTTCTTTGCTGAAAATTTTGAAGATTTCAGGAAGGATAAATAATAGCCAGTATTGCAAAAGACAAAGTGTTGTTGACAAACAAATAGTTATTCTATTAATTTATAATTAATCTCGTTAGAGCGTATTGAACTGCTTGAGTGTCTCAAGTATACATCGACTTTTGCAACACGGGCTACGATATATCTTTTCTGAAAGTTTTGGAATTTTCAGGAAAGAAATGTGTAATGCAGTGGTATAAATATGATTAGTAAATTAATATGGATAAATCAATAGGAAAAACTTTTGGAGGAAAAAGTGCGTTTTTATACCAATAAAACGTATCGTATGGAACACATTCTTGTATGATTTGTTTACGTCTTAAATGAAAAAAGACGTGTTTCAAGGCGTTTGAATACATGCGGTTAAAGTCTATCGAAAACATGAATTAATAAGAAAAACGCGTTCAGGTTCAAATTTCTGAGCTTTTTTTTTTCATGGGTTGTTTCTGATTTCGTATCGTGTTTTGTTAACAAGTTCTTAGTAATACCGGAAATGATGAGCGATCAAGGATTGTGTAGAAAAATTTGTCTTGCTAAATTAATAATCAAGAAGGTGGAACTCGATCCACAACTAATAATTTTTTTGTGATCTAATGACTGCTTTCCTAAACTCGTTGCATGGGCACACAAATAAATATGAGTTTTTTAAATTCAGTGGAAAATTCACAAATAATCGATTACTAATTGTGTGATTAATCAGCATATAATTTAAGTAAGTGAATCAAATACTCCTAGAATCAATTTTAGTATTGTTTAAAACTATATTTCTATCTTTATGGACAATGTGCGATTCTTTTTTATGTACTTTACTATTCATTCATGTTCTTGTGGCTTAAGTGGAAACGCATTCAACTTCTAACTGGATGATAGATGGTTCGAATCCATCTAGGAGGTATGCTCAGTTTGTTCTGAATAAATTTATTCAATCACTATGATGAAATATCTTTTTCAGAAAACAAACCGAGGAGATAATTTCATAATGCACAGTTTGATTCCTTTTTGTAATATTAATTCATCTCAAGAAAGGAAAAGGCAGTAGTGTCTATGATGTAATCAGCTATTTTTTTTCTTCTGCTCGTTGCTGTTGATTTATTCTTCTCTCTTTCGTGTACTTGTCATCTAGTTCGGCTCTTCTCTGGTCGTCACGAAAATGCATACACACACACACATACGTGCATTTCTACATAGTTCGCCAAGTCTTCCTACACTATTTGTTTTGATTTACAAAAAATGATAACTATTGAAATTAGAAAGTACGCTATTACACAACACATTGGTAAATGCAGAACATGGTGATGTCGTCGTTTTCTTCTAGTAGAATCGGCTGTTATTTTTAAGTATCAATTTCTCTTTTTTTTGACAGTTTCTGTGTATCACAGCTTATTATATGAATAATATCCGAAAGAGCGTGATTCTACATTAAAGGCATCACTACTAAGCAGTTTCTACATTTGTTTATTCACTAGATTCTCGATTTCTGCTATTCAAACAACATTCAAAGTCGACAACAGTTCAAATGTCGATTCCTTCTTTGCTTCGTTTTTGGTTATATTTCCCTCTTCTAATACCATCAATAGTATGTTCTATCTTCGCTATCTATCATCTTCTCTTTGATGGAACTCTTCGTCGTAGTCTCAAAAATCATGTCATTATTGTGATTTTCATTATTGGTCTTTTATATCAGTTGACAGATGTGATTTACTTTGCATATTATTATCGCAATCGTATTGCTTTAATTTCAACATCTGTATTTTGTTTCATTTGGATCTATATTGATATTGCTGAATTTGTTACAATATTGATTCTAGTTGCTTGGGTTTCAGTCGAACGACATATTCTTATTTTTCACGGCAGATGGCTATTAAACGGAAGAAAGCGCTGTTACTTCCATTATTTTCCATTGATTATATTCTCTCTATATTCTCTGGGATTTTATGTCTGTATCTTTTTTATTATATATTGTACAGATTCATTAGATTACAATATAATACTATGTGGTTATTCATATTCTGCTTGGTATATTCCATCAATCGGTAGATTTTATAGTATAGCAAATAATGTGACGCCCACTTTTACTATTGTTATCTTTAGTATTCTTCTTCTTGTATGTTTATTACGTCGAAAATTTCGTTTACGTCAATCAGTAAAGTGGCTCAATTATCAAAAAATGGCATTTCAATTATTGTCGATTTCAAGCATTTATTTTTTCTTTTATATTCTACCTAGATACATGGGACACTCCAAAAGTTTTCCCCCCCGGTTCTTCTAAAAGCCTTAGTTTGAGTTCAAGTATTCTGTTATAATGCTTAGACATATTTAGGATTATGTGCAAAATTTTAGACTTCTAAGTCTTGTACTTTGCTGTAGCCGATCATTTCTTTTACGCTAGGTCACGCAGTCTGCTAACGGATGACCCATCTTGTATGAGAGAACTTTGCGTCTCATATTTTGATTCCTAANTTAGACTTCTAAGTCTTGTACTTTGCTGTAGCCGATCATTTCTTTTACGCTAGGTCACGCAGTCTGCTAACGGATGACCCATCTTGTATGAGAGAACTTTGCGTCTCATATTTTGATTTCCTAAATTCCTTCTATTAGAAAAAAAAATATGTTAGAAGACGCAGCGTGAAAAGCTCTATAATTTACGCAGAACAATTAATTTTACAGTTGCATTTTTTGTGTTAAAAATTCGACAAAGTTGTGAGCAATCAAATTTCGATGTTGGAAAAACAATGTTTTTTTTTATTAAAGATTAATTCGCTTCTTTCTTATTTCATCTTGCTTTACCTGATATTTTCTATTAAACAAAAACAAAATATATCACAGTATGCAGCGTGAAAAGCTCTACAATTTGCATAAGATACCTTATTTTACAGTTGCATTTATTTGTTTCGAAAATCGACAAAATTCTGAATGATCCAATTTTGACCTTGCAAAAAAGTGTTTTTTTCGTATACGATGAACACGCTTTTTTCTTATTCAGCATCTGACATGTTGTGTTTCAAAAAGGACAAAATACACCACAGGATGCAGAGTGAAAAACTCTACAATTTACAATGAACAATTTATATTATGCATGTAGTTTTTGCTATTAAGAACAAGCAAAACTCTAAGCGACCAATTTCCTCGACTGCAAAGATTCTATCCGAACGATGATCTCGTTTTTTCGTATTCCATCTTCTTCTCACCCAATACGTTCGTTTTCAAAGAAACAGAATATGACGAAAGATGCAGCGTGAAAAACTCTACAAATTACCAACAACAATTTATCTTAACTATATTCTTTTGCTTTTTGGAAAAAAGCAAAATTCTCTGAACTACTTTTCGCAGAGTCCAGAATTGATCGCTCAGAATACTGTTTATTTCGAAGCGAAACATGCGCAATCAACATAAGCGTTACATTGTAAATTGTACAGCTTTTCACGCTGTATCTTCTGGTATAGTTTGTTTTTAAATAAAATTTTGTTAGGGATCAAAATATGAAATGCAAAGTTCCGCCATTTTTTTTGTAAGTCACCCGCTATGTAGCTTATAAAAGATGCCATGTTATTAGCGTAAAAGAAATGATCGGCTACAGCAAAGCACAAGGCTTAGAAATCTGAAATTTTGCACATAATCCTAAATATGTTTAGGCATTATAATAGAATAGATGTCCTCAAATTACGATTTCTAGAAGAACCGGGCGAAAAAACTTTTGACGTGACCTATGTAATTCTATATGTTTCATATACATCCGGCGTATCTTTAAATGACAATATTCTCGATTACTACGGTTCTAGCCTTTATTTCACTTCTCATATTATAATGCTCATTCCTTTTGTGAACACTATAGTATTGTCAGAGTTGGGATCAAAATTAAAAAGCTACATTCCATTCTGGAGAGGACAAACAAATGCTATTGTTCCAGTTGTGATTGGACCACATCGTCAGAAGGTATTTCAAACAGCTACAGTACTAACAAATATATATTAATATGTTTTTGTTACTACATATATCTAACGTCATGAAGTTCAAGGATCTGGAGTGGAATTCAGCTTTTGAGCAGTCACCCTCGGGGATTGTATGTATTGGTCTTTGTAATTCCATCAGTAAGCTTGTCTGGAATAATACGAGATTGCTGAATTAGAATCTGCATACACCAGACCTATCAACTTCTTTCTAAGTTTTGTTTTCTAGTTATACAAAAGAACATGATTAGTTTTACTTCAAAGTTGCTCAAGTTGTGTCTTCAGTCCGAATCATCAAACCATAGATTACTTAACTGATATGTTGCATTTTGAAGCAAAACATGAGAATTATTTTATCATTTACTCTCCTCCAGGTTTCAGAAGAGTCAGTAATAAAATGGTCGCAGAATTAGAGTATTGATCTTGCCAATATGGTAGTAATAGGGAATGACCGACCCACGCATGCTGCCATTTGTGCACAGTAGTTTAGTGTCATTCCAGTAATCGTTAAGAGAAAGGAAAGAGTGGAATGACTAGAGCAGTTTTCTGTTTCTTTCTCTTTTATGACAGCGCTTATTAGATAAAAATAACCTCTGTGACATCTTTTTTTGCTAATAAGAAACAAGAACAATTGATTACACGAATAGTTACATAGTTTTAAGCAAGATACGTATTCTAGATACCCATTTAAAAAATACACTATTTATTGTCATTTTAATAATCATAATATCATCATTAAAGACATTTAACGGATAATAAGCTCATTTTCGACTTCTACTATAACAAGATTTACAACATATATACTGATAATGCATGTCATTATTCCTTCAACTCTTCACCAATAATCGCTCTACGTTCTATCTTGTCTTAGCATCTCTCATCTATCATGCTATTGCGAAACTTTTGAAGTGCATTTAATTCAATAGCACATATTCTCGATCGATATATATCACACAGCACATCTCTAAATCTGTGCCCAGAAAAATAAATAGATGAATGAAAAAATTTCAAATAATCTTTTTTCAATTTTATCTATTCTCTAAGTAATATATTTTGGAGAAAGTGTATGAAACAAAACATTTTTATATCAAACGATAGTTCATGAAGTTCTATACAACAGACATTGAGTGAGCTTTGAATAAAATGCATTGATTTTTCTATTGATGATTCTGCCTATGCCAATATTGATATCACCCTTCATTGATCTTCATTTCATCTTTCCTCTTTATCTTCTCTCAATTGTCATTTCTTGTGCTCATCTTTCTCTCTGACTCTCTTTTATATCAATATGTGTTATAAGCGAACTAAGTACATTTTGGAGATATGATACAGCGTAATAGACATCATTACCGAGGGTGACAATAAGTTGTATTTTCACTCTGTCGTTATATATACGTTATTCTCGACGTTAGAAGTGTAGCAATCATTGTTTTAAAGATTTATATTTATGACATCAAATTCATTCGTTCCAGTTCTCATGGATAAAATGCAATTAAATATTCACCTATTTGGACTGAAGCTAACTTGTTGTTTGTTTTGCACGTATTGTAAGTCTGTCACGAACTAAAGGAAAATCATTTTATGTGATATTTTCAAGTGACAAATGGCAACACATAGTGAAAACAATTGCATGATTTTTACTGTTTTTTATTATGGAATATAACTTGGTGATTTCAGAAAAAAGTTTAACTAATGTGTGGATGGGCGCTACATATTTAATATATGGGATAAAAAGAAATATATGTTTACGGAAACTTTCGAATTAACATCTTTTGATACAATTAGAAACATCACGATATATATAAAATTTATGTTTATTGTTAATATGGCTTATTAAGAACATATGGTAAAAGTGTGCTTTTGAATTTTGTTGTTTTCTTGTTTTTTATTATTCGATAACGTAATAGTTTTCTTTTGTCTTACAGAGATTTGTTTTCTGAAGAATATTATATAGACCCATATTTTGGTTTGAACCAATAGCCAACGTATAGCCTAAACTATGATAAGCTCTTCCAGCAGCTACATGATTATAATTATTGTCATTGAAACAAATCTTCTCAGTATGTGTTGTGGCTTTGATCTCGTCAGACTTTGAGCTTTCTTGTACGCCGTTTACTGTTGAGACTTGATATAAGTAATCAGTTGCAGAATTCAAGCCAGTATCTGTGTACGATGTAATGCTAATAACTTCCACTTTATTTCCATTACGATAAACATTGTATTTGTGTGCACCTGAAGCTGGTTCCCACTGTAAAGTAATAGAATTAGAAGTAACACTAGTAACTGTTAAGCCTTTTGGTGTTTCTATAGCTGGTGGTTCACCTGTTGTTTTGACATTTACCAAATTTGAAGATGTACTTTCAGCACCTGTCAATGAGACAGCTTTTACAGTATATGTATAAGTTGTACCAGAATTCAAAGTATTGTCTGTAAACGTGGTGCCACTGATTAGTCCGCTGTTGGCTTTACCACCATTTCTATAAACATTATAACCACTCACACTTGAAACTTGTCTCCACGCAAGAGAGACTGAATTGTCTGTAGTACTGGTGACCTCAAGACTTGTGGGCGCATCGATTGGATTGAAACCACCCGTTATACGATCAATCATTTTTTTCATAGCGGTCGATTGTTTACCACTTTTGACGTTAAAATCACTACCATACCATCCAATCCAGTCCCAACATCCATTTGAGTTGGGAAGTGTTGCTTTACTTTCTATACTTTTCAAAGTTGTAGCTACTGCTTGTGGGTACAAAACTATGATATTATTGGTATCGGCCCAACGATTGTAACCTGTATTTTTGACGAACTTATCACCAACTTTTTCGTAGCCTTGTACGCAACCGTGATAGGCTATATGTAATTTACAGTTTTGTCCATCAGCACAGTTCTTAGGCACATAAATCCACGCCGTATCGTCCATGCCATAACTTTTTGAATTAGTTAGAAACTCTGCTTGATTAAATTCAATAAATTTTCCACTGAGCACTCCATCATTTCTTGGTTTCAAAGAACCGTAAATATGTTTGAGTATAGCTCCTGCTCCATCAAAATTGCAGTTACTTATATAAGGACTGCTCGTGGATCCACAACCATTATTACCAGCACTGTCAAAATCAGTTGGAAAAGTATGTGCCGATTTCAAGTCCTTTTTAAATACAACATTTGCACTTGGAATGAATTGACCATCGGTCACATAATATTTATATAACTGATTCATTACAGACGCACCAACAGTTGAGTCTGAAGTGCCAGAAATCATATAAACTCTGTGCTTTGTAAGATTATCAATGTTATCGATTTTATTACCACTCCATGCCTTTGTGTTTGAAATAGACGTAGCTATAGGTGGAGTACTCGTGTACATACAACTTGTGTAACTCATTTGAGCTCCACAGTCATATGGACCGCCTGCTATTATTCCAGCACCTTTTATGGACGCTGAAAATGCGACTTGTAATTGAGTAGCAAAGTATGCACCAGAAGATATACCCGAGACTGACGTCTCACTAGGATCAACGTTGTATTGAGATAATTTCTAGAAGTAAAAATATTATTATCAAGTATAGTCATTTAGAACTCTTACCTCAGCTGCATAGCAGCAGCTAATTAATAAAAAGATCAATGATATTGACATTGCCATCTTCTCTGTAACGAAATTCGTGCTTGCCAGCTCTCGTGAATGACTTAAATTATTTTATTGTAGTTTACAAACACGTGAATAAGATAATCTGAAATATGTATTGCAAGAATATAGTGTGATCACAATCAAATCTATAGATTATAACAGAATGGACCGTACAGTCTGTAAATAACTATATATACAGTAGGCTTTGTAAACAAGATGTATTCGACTACTTTATCCAAGTTGTTCATAGATGAAATAGTCTAAACACCTTAATCTAATAGTTCAATGTTGTATGATGCTATATAATTATATTATAACGACTACTAAAGTCTATTATCTACGTTCATTTCAATAATGCTATGGACTTTAATCAATTCTATTTATATATCACTATCCCCTACGCATAATGTGTATTTTCTGCATGGTAGACGAATATATATGACTTTCTTTCTCAAAAAATAGATTTCATCGTTCAGAAATGATTATATATGGCTCAGAAAGAAACATTTTGTTAAAGAAAAACACCTGAATAAAACTCTTAACTTTATTTTTTTGGGAAGGTGTTTTGTTTTTGCAATATATCACTCTGTGCAGTTTAACAAGCTAATTCAAGACATACGATTCGGATCGATTAAATGTTTTTCTAAAATCAGAAATACCAAGGGTTTTTATCAAGATATTGTGCAATTTGGGTGTGGGTGTGGATGTGTACATTTGAACGTGCGACTCTGGGCGTCAGTGAATAATAGACTAACACTCACACTTGCACGCTACGTCATCAGTCTCGTTGAAGAAATCTCATTTCATATTTGAATATAACATATTCGAATGTATCTGTGTGAAAAGATCGGTCCATAATTTTTGAAAACGAAAAAAAAAAAGAAAGTAACAGTAAAAAATATTTTGTTCTTATCGTTTTGTGTAGCATTCGATACCTGTACTCACACTTGAGTACTGTTCAGATTGCGAACCAGATAAAGTTTACGAACATTTTGACGTATTTATTAATGTTTTTATGTTGTTAATCTGTCAATATAAACCATAATAATTAGAGATAAAAATATAGTGAAAAAAGCTCATAAATATGTCTGTATTTGAATTAAAAAAAGGGAAAAGAAACAAAACTGATGTGTTTGCAGTGTGCTATACTAAAAAGGTGAAACTTCTGTGTGTCTGTTATAGGTGCAAAAACACAACAGGTTCATATTCTTCGTTTTTGCATTCTAAATCATATTTTATTGTCCATCTATGACTTGAAGCAACGGTAAATATTAAGCAAATTATGATTGTTTTCGATCTGTAAAGGAAAGTTAACATTTGAAGAAAAAATCAAGCGCTTTAATTTTCGGATCACTTGAAGTTGAACAGTTTCAGTTCTAAATTTCAGACTCTCTCCACAGTAGTCTTGTGCTCCACAAAAATATTTTATGAGTGGCACTTACAATATGCGTCTTATTCAAGGGTCTCGAAAGAAATCGTTGGAACTAATTATATAAAAACACTGTCTTACTGAAATCATCTTTGATCGAAAATTTTATTCAATATTTCGCATTAGAAAACATTGTATGTGTACAATTCTGAACAAAAGTAGGTGCACCCACATGTATAAAGCCTTTTTCGATGATACTTTCGGTTTCTGTATAACAATGAACCCTATTCGCAAGTACAAAGGCTCCTTCAATTGGTTCAAGCTTAGTTGAACTGTGATTTAAAATTTACCTATCAACAAGAGCTGCTTTCATAAATGGGCAGGTGATCAATGCAAAAACAATATCTCAGAAATTTCATAAACTTTCTTGCCAAACTTTGACCGAAGCTCACTATAATATATACAGCTCTTTAATGAGAAATGTTTGACCATTACTTGCATACTGATGGTCAACAAAATAAAAATTGTGCTCGATCACAATTTAGTCAGGTCTGTGCCAATAGGAAGTGGTATCAAAAGTATCAGCTTAATATCCTAGGCAACATAATTTATGCCACGGAGTACTTACCGTTGTGTACAACTGTGTGTTATCAATAATACAAAGTATTAAGTCAACTTCTTCGTCGCTCGGTTTTTGTAGAGACAAAAAGAGATAATACTGAGATGAATATATACATCCCAAAAGTAATGAGTACAAAGGTGAATTATTATCAGCAAATATTTACATAGAACATAGCGCAACTTTTTTTCAACAGTCTTTTCTCTTCATATTGATTCTGTCGATTACAGAAAGACGAAAACATTGTACCCAAGCGCTTATCAGTATTGTTTCATATTAACATCTTAAAACCCAAACAGTCCGATGCTTCCCATGGGAAATAACCTCACGACTGTTACTCTTCAATAATAGTGAAAGTATTAGCGGTTTCGTAGATGGAAAGAAAAAGATCGAGAATCAGAAGTACATTGGCAAAAATTTTTCATCCTTAAATCGGTTACATCCATGTTTGCATTGACGATATATTTTGTCTAGATATATTTTAATGCAGTATTTTATAAAGATTATCAAATTACGTTTTCAATTCTATTTTTTCGTACATTCTTAGTAGTCTTGATAGGTTTACCATGCTTGCTTCCATTGTATTTTGTTGATTTCATATTACTATTTTTCATCTAATTTTCGTATTTCTTGCAGGCTTTTTCTTTATGGTGCCTACCGATTGGTTCATCATACTCCTTCTTTTGCTTCTTTGCCTTTGACATACTTGATTGAAATAGTCGAGGAATTTGAGGAGACTAATATGAATGTGGAGGTATCAGATTGACAGTTTTTCGGTCATTGATATCCAGGCCTAAGAGATTAGACTAATATTTCGAGTATAATACTAAGTCAGAGTGCTATCTTGTATGACGCATTCAAACAAAAACTCTACAACGGGCCTCCGGTCAATTAGTGAATAATTGTTAGGGTTTCTTATGGGCCCTCTCTTAAGCAGCATTCTATTAAACGACATGAAATTTTATGGTACCAGACAGTTAGAGCTATCATTGAAAGTCTATCATCACACGGGGCATCCGATTTCATGGAAACATGCGAAGTTCCTGTGAAGCTTTCAAGATTCTATGTACTAGATTGCTTTGCTTGTCTATATGTCATTCATTGTCTTTTGATTGTGCATCTGAAACAGATCAATTGTTTATTCAAATATTCGAATTTTTTTCATTTGCTATATGATGATTTGGGACGAACAGTCAGTTGAAAGTATTCAATTTCTTTGTCTGTTTCATCTATTAATATCACTCTGCAATCATCTGTATTCCACATTCGTTTGTTCTGAAAACATTCAAAATATATCTTAGGATTAAGAGAAACACATTTCTTGATGTTCGACGTGATGAAGTAGGCTTGTTTCTTGGCCCGTGGATAATTGGTTTCGCCACCGGCTTACATATTTTATTAATAGGCAACATTAAAAAGGTTCCTTCAGATAGTCTATGCTTTGTCATATCTCCAAGTATTGATTTACTATTTGACATGGGTTCATTATCATTCTTACAATCGAATATTACTCTCGACATTCTCTGTTAGCGTTTAGTGAGCTATTTACGACAAGTCTCATGAAGAGTCCATGGCAATTCTCAACTGCACATGCATCGATATTCGCCAATTGACTGTCGAATTGTATTGCTAAATTCGAAACTACTTATTGTCGTACCCATGTTTGTTTTCACGTTACTCAATGTATCTCCTAGTTCGATACGTCTCGGACTACTGATTTTGAATTTACTATTCTCTGTTATGCTAATCATACTGTTCTCGATTACAACAAATCTACGATGAGCTCTACTTGATTGCTTGAATGATACGCAGCACTCTTCAACAATCAATACTAGTCGTGTGATGCCTTTAATGGAAAATATTCATTGTTAATAAAAAAGAGTGACTGAAATGTTTCTATACATATTTATATGGAACGATTGCAATCCATTTGTACCGCTTGGCTTCAGCTTTTTTTTGAAAATATCATTTGTCAGTGGAATACCTTCGTGTATTGGGCTAGATAGTACTACTAGAGAGATGAAGAAGATTGGTTGTTGTCTCTCTACCACTAACAAGAATAGTGAAAAGTTCAAAGAAAAACGATAGTTTGAAGCTTATTTTTGAGAATCACTAAGTCATTTTAAAGATTCTATAGTGAGTGTTGAAAGTCTCTCTTAGAGAAACGGATCGATGAGGGACCTAAGCAAAATCATAAGCTATCCAAACATTTCCTAAACAGAACCTGCATATGTTAATTTTTTAGAAAGTCTGTTTCTCAAAGAATATCTTCTGTCGATATATAAAGAACGGAATAAAGGTGTATTTCAATCTAACAATGGAGGTGTTTGTACTGTAACTTAAGGAGATGCCACATATTCGGGTCAAATGAAAGCTCTCACCGAGAAACTAACAGGGTTAAAATATTAGCTGCTAATGGCTTGCGTAGAGGGAGANATAATCATTTGAGAACACTTGGTTCTTTTCATTTTCGACAGGAATAGCCTACCCAAGATGGGTGTGGACACCCACACCCGCAATTTAGGGGTAGAATTTAACCTGATCGTTAATGATTTACTAAATGCTCCATGTCTCAGCCTGAGAACAAAATTTCTTAAAACCCGTGCGCACTTTTTTCCTTGTCGAATGATGATTCGATTGGTGTATAAATATTTAGAAAATTTTTTCAAACAAAAGACTAAATAGGTTTACAACAGATGAGTGTCTATGAGACACGTTTTCATCCTAATTGATCTCATGGAAAATTCTGGATATGTTGAAATTCGTTTGAAGCTACATTTTAATACTCAGTTTGAGATGCTGAATCCGAATAAAGCAGTTTTGAAAGCCTATATTTAGTGGAAAGGGGAGAAGAGTCACGCTTTCTTCCAAAACAATGATTTTTTTTCCTTTTCAATTTTTTACAGTATTTTCAAGGTTTCAGACCCAAAGCTTGATCAAAACACAATAAAATATACATATTCGGAATCCGCTCGACGAGCTCTATCAAATAATGTGAAAAACAAAAAACATTTTTTTTCGCTTACGTTTTGCCCTTGGTGTACCTTACAAAATAAAAACGTATATAGTTTCGATATTTTTCTGGAGAAAAAAAAGTACATTTTTACTGTATATAATGCTTCACTATACACATCATTTAGTAAAACCGAAAAAAGTTTGATGATTTCACACAATTAATTTGTGGAAAGTTTTATCTCTAATTATGTATTTTCTGACGTTATTCTATAGTCGCTCTAGCATCAGCAACAAACATCATGACAAACAATTCAAAGTTCAACCAAATAGGCATCATCAGAAAAGCTATTTAGAATTCTTTTTTTTTAAATTCTTGCTCAGTATTCAATATCATATCATCATTTTATTGTGTATGTTTGAACATATGGTGAAAAAATTAATGACAAATTGCATCAACATCCTAATTTTAAACCTTACAAAGTTCTTGATCGAATGGTTAATCATACATTTCTATTGATTTTTACTTTATGCTTAAAATACTTAATTATGAGATATTGCTAGTTAAACTTGAAGATCCTTTTCGTGAAGCATTAAAGTCTATTTAAAAATTACAATTTCATTTAGAATAGATAGATACAGGTATGACACATATTGCTACAAACTATTACAATGAAAAAAACAAAAAGTAAAATTTAATTCAATTTATAAACAAGTAAAATAAATCAATTCGTTCTTTTATTTTCAAGGATGAAAATGTACTGGATTATGCTCCAAACGTATTGGATTTTAATAGAGTAACAATAAATCCAGATATTCAAGTAATAAAAAACAAAAATGATTGAAAATTAAGTAAATTGAAAAGCACACATCTCTAAATTTTTCTTCTAGGATTCAGCTGAAGCTTTGGCTGGAAATTCTCATGAAATATGGGCAAAATAATTAAAAGATCGTCTTGCTGCAATAAGTAATTCTATCTACGTAATAATTTGATTCAAATTTAATTTTTCATATTGTGGGTGTGGGTATGTGTAGATAACAACAATACTCACACCCACACCCACACCCACACTCCACTTCTATCTCTCAATCTTGTTGAACATTTTCTTATTTGTAAATGTCACTATAATAAAATGAAAACAAAACGCTTTACGCTTTAATAATATTTGCCAGTTCCTTGTAACTTTCATGTACTGCTTGCATAAAATCAGATAATTCTTGTTTCATAAACGATGTAACCAGTAGTTGACATTGATTATCATTAATTGCGTACCAAACACCAAAACCATTATCAATAACAGGACCAAAACCTATAGCAGCAATATATTTTGAAGTAATAGTTGATGTTGAAAGAATATGATGATTCATTAATTCATATGATTTATCTGTATAAATCGTGTGTAATTGACTTTCTTGATTTTCTATTTGCTGTAAATATTTTAATGCAAATAAATGTCGATCAAAACCTTGTCCAGTTGCTGCCTCTTTAATTAATTGTCGATGTTTTTCTGAACATTTTTTTAATAAACTTTTTATCAATTGTTTATCATTTGATGTTGTTAATGTTTCAATAAAATTTTTTGTTTCGTTTGTAACGGACCGAATGGTTTCTGTACGTCCATGTTTATAAACAGCTGTTGAACATGATTCATATACTGATACAAATCGATGATGTATTTTATAATAAGCCATTTGGATACCCAATTGCATTATAGCATCAGGACTAAGAGCAAATTGTTTTAGTAAATTTTTACCTAAAACTTCTTCTTGATAAATGCTTAAATTTAAATTTGACACCAATTTATTATAATTATGTTTTGATATTTCGTAATCACTTTTTAATTTATCATCTAATTTAAATTTAATTTCTTCAATACAATCATATGCAGTTGATTTTATCAATGAATAATTTGATGAATTAATTCTTCCGTATTCATAAGCATCTTGATTAATATCATTACAAAAACGAACGAAAGTAACTCCATCACCCCATGAATGTTCACTGTGAAGACCTAATGTTCCATCACTTAACATTACCATATTAAATGGTTTGTCATGCCAACGATTTAATGCATTATAACATAAATATTGACCAGATATATATTCAGCGCGTTCTTTTTTAGTCAGTGATTTATGTAATTTTGTTGGATCGTCTTCATCTATTTGAAATAAGTAAACGAAGTAAAAAATGAAATAAACTGCTCCATACGATAGAAAACCCACTTAGAGGAATGATATGCTAGATATTATAGAACAATCCTTCTGAATTAGTTAGTTTTTCAAAACATTAAAACGTTAACGAACGGATTTATACCGAAATATTTTAAGTTTCCAGTGATTTTAACTGAAACTTCTAGAAGACTGAAGTCAATATTGTTTCTGCACTCTTAAAACTCTAAAAACACTTTTCAAATTTTCAAACTTGTTTCAGTTTTCTGACTAATCATTTGAATTGAAATTTATGGAAATAAACGAGATAGAATAAACGAACTTTTTGAAAACTTTAAGCGCTTGACCATATTAGAAGGCTCAAGGTTTTCTAATATGATGAGCGATTTAGTATGATAATGAAGAACCAGAAAAAACTTGACTAAAATCTTTTCTCTATGAGTTCTTTGAGATTGGAGATGAATTAGATTAATAGTTGTCTTTTCCCATAGATATCTAGATGATTGAGATATTTGAGATCGTTCAGTTGAATCGAATCGGCATGCGAAAACATCATGTGACGATGTGCTAAAGAGCTCGGGATGCTATCAAATTAAAGCTAATACCAGTGCACAATTTTGAAATCCACTAGTTTCAGTCTTTCTGACTGACAACTATGTTTTGAGAAAAAACGATAAAAAGGTTTAGTAGTCGATTTTTTTCTTACAAATTCAACACTATCGGTGATAGTTAAGTATATATAATGATTTATACAATGTTGACACAAATTAAAAGGTAGTTGTTCCCAAACTGGAAAACAAAAAGAAATGTAAAAATTCCTACACCAAAATGATAGTAGGATCAAAGTTTGCTCCTGAGCTCCGTTAAAATTGGGTCTTTTTTTCAAAAAGCTATATATTTTCTGGAAAAAAAACAGGTTCGCTATATCGTCCTATAATAAAAGCTCAATTCGAGATTTTTTTTAATTTTCTAAGAAAGGGTCCCTTAAAATGGCTTACTGCCTAAAATTTGCTCAGTTCTGCATTGACATAGGTTGACAGTTTTTTTTTAGAATAAGTAATAAACCTACACTGAGCCTCATCCAATTTAAATACTTTGTGACGTCTCTGTCACATTCATGCCTGAAATGTATCGTGTAGGCTCACTCTTCGATATTATTCTTGTAATACTTTTTGATTAAAAATTTATATTACATTTGTAAATCGTTAGAAGACTTATGGTAAGAAGAAATTTTTCGGAAATGAATAATTATCAAACGAAATAGAAAACTAAAAACAATATTATAGGTTCTATTAAATACACAAAAACTGTTCAATAGCTAACAATATCTCAATTAAAGAACAATTTTGAATCGATTTCTTTGATAAAAATATTAAAAACTCACCTAAACATACAATCATAATAGAACTATCGATTTCCTTAAGCGCTTGCTTATTACATTCTGAAAGTGCTTCAATTTGTTGACGTATTAATGCCCATCGTTCTCGTTTATCAGCAGTAAAGTATCCTAATGAATATTTATTTTCTTCTTCATTTAAATCTTCGTATAAATATTTCATAATCGATGCAATTTTTTCAATTGGTAATAATTGTCCATTTTGTTCTAAAATGTTAACTTTATAATAATGACCACGTTTAATAACAATAATATGTCGAATGTTTTCAGTATATGTCACAAGTAAATCACAATTCACTTTCGGTATACGTGTTGAATTGAATAAATGATTAAATTGAGACATATCTAATGGATAGAATTTTTGTAGAACAGCTGCATAATATGAAACAAGTTTTGGTAAATATCGAAAATATTTACCAAATTGATCAGTTTTGATTCTTTTTGAATTTAAATAATATAATCCAGAATCAAGCCAATTAGCTCGAAGTGAATTCATAAAACGTATCGATGATACAATATAATTTGTAATACGTGCTGCTGGTTTTAACTGTTGTTGATCATCGGTAAAAAGAAAAAAAACATTAAAATTTAATACAAGTGGTAAACGTGATTTTAAATACATTTCAAACCATGGTTTTGATAAATATGATGTATGTTTATTCATTTTGATTTTTTGACGTAACTGCGCATCAAGTCGTTTTCCATCACCTCTACGAAAATTTTCAACTATTTGGCGTGTTTGTTCGTAAGAGTTTTCATCATTATTAAGTATAGGTCTAACAGCAGTTAAATAACGTTGGCATGTCAAGTCTAATTTAGGTATTGATAAATGAGGTAAACTAGATTGAAAATGATCTGTTGGTAGGATACTTTGCTTAAAATAATTTAAATCATCATGTTTTTTGATAGAATCATTTGAGACATGACGAAGAAAACAAATAATTCGTTGACATTTGTCATATGTCAGATGACTTTTAGTCAACATCTTGAAAAAAAAAAAGAAAAATAGACTTACGAAGGAATCCCCTCCCCAAGTAGAGCTCCGCTGCTGAGGTGATACTATGGTTATCATAGGCTTTAGTAAGAATAGAAAGAGCCCACAAGTATTCACATTTCTGACTCTCACTTCGTGAGTTAAGATTATTTTACTAAGTTTTTTACTTCAGGCCCGCTATTTCCAGCACCATGAAATGATGCAATTTCGCCCTGAATTTTTGAATACAGGTGGCTCTCGTCACTCATAACATACCATCAAAGTTTCAGGCAAAATGAATACTCTGTATATCACTTATTTGGATTCTTAAATAAGGGGTGTATTCTACATAGAGAAACATATCGAGTTTCCTAGAAAGTTCATTAGCTTGTAAAGAGACTATTTGTGAGGAGAGGAGGAGGTGAACGTGAGGTTTGATACACTATTGACGACTCTTTCTCTCATTTTGATGCAGCTTTTTATTTTTGTCTCATTCTTGTTTCTCTTGTCGAAACTGTATTTTTTATGCATTCTAATAAAAAGGCAATAGAAAAGCAATAAACTAGGAACCTCTTATAATGGATATCATTTATTGAAATAAAGTAGTATAATACAACAAAATAGAAAGCAGAACCATTCTTCCCTCCTTTCACTGTGTTTTTTTTGTTCTTTTTTCTTTCTTTGTCTTATTTCTTTTCTTCTCTCTGTTTCTTTTTCCTCCACTTATTACTCTCTTACTTTATATTTTTACATGTCTTTCATTTTTATTTTTATTCTATCTCTTTTTGTTTCTGTAATTACTTTCTGATACCCAGATGAGCGGAGTTGATGTACGGTTATATATATATCGATGGCCATTAAAAAATAAAGGGAATCCCTAGCAATGTTGTCAAAATGAGTGTACTGTATAACCAAATTTGCTCACGAGAGAGCGTCCTCAGGTGTGAAACCGCTTTTGGGTCAAGTATATGCTCAAAAGATAGATTTTGATGAGTTATAAAACCTTCTACAATGGTTCAGTTTTTCAGGCTTCCTTAACAGAGATATACGCTATCTACTGATAACAGGGTTATTGTACTAATATACTTAAATTTTTGATATCTTAATTAAACATATTCTGATCTGCCTCAAACTTACTTATATCTCTAGTAAAGCAATTGGCACTGATTCGGATACCAACAGTAGAAGATACATTGATATATTCTATCGAAGACCTCAATGATTTTACATAAAAGACGACTACCAAAAAAATAAAATATCCTTTTGATCAAAGATGAAAAAATCGATTAATCTAATATTTTCAATCGAGATTCATTTTATTGTGACATTGAAGTAAAAAATTCAGCTCATTTGTCGATGTTTCCGTTAACTGAAATAAAACGAATATAATTACATACTTTTCATCATACGATCTATATTAAATGATGTATCTATGAATCACACTAAAATAAACAAAAGCTAAAGAAGGTGATGGGAACACGCATAAGTAGTGAAAGTGATAGCTATTGAATGCATTATCAATATACAATATCTGACTGCAAGGACCATATCGAATGAACGAAAATAAGACACAATTACACGTATAGCATTCAAGATCATCAAGTCCGAAGAAAATTTCAGCAACATTTTTGAATGAGTCGTAATGTATATCAAAATATTCACCTTTAAACCATGCATAATTAATCATAGATGTAAAGATATTCGATGATATTTGATTATGAATGAGTGTTCTTCGATTGAAAACAGCAATTTATCTTCCAGTGTTGATATTCTAACCAATGCCAATGGCTTTACTAGTGATATAAGTTTGAGGCAGATCAGAATATGTTTAATTAAGATATCAAAAATATAAGTATATTAGTACAATAATACTGCTAACAGTAAAAAGCTTATATCTCTGTTCACGAAGCCTGAAAAACTGAACCATTGTAGAATGTTTTATAATCCATCAAAATCTATCTTTTGAGTATATGCTTGATTCAAAAGCGGTTTCACACCTGAGAATGTTCGCTCGTCAATTGTCTTGTAATTTTGTATGTACCATTACAGAAATACTCCGATTCATTCGTATTCGAGCTCCCTTCACTTGACTCTCCTGCAATCAGTTTCTTACACGAGTGCATCACAAGAAAAAAAACGAAAAGAAAGAAAGAAGCAACATGTTAATAAAGAGAAAACCAAACGTCAATAATAAAAGGAAAACAAAAACATCTTTGAAGGTGAGGACGAGATAAACAATCATAATACGAGTAGATTTTATGAATCCTGATAAAAGGCATCAAGTTTCAAATAGCAGCACGAATAATTGACAAAGAGAGTTAGGGTAAGGATGAGTTTACTTAGGGAAATAGATTCAAAATGATCATAAAACATGTTTCGGGTGTGGATGTGGATATGGTTGAGGACGTGGTCCACACCCACACCAACGCATTGAAACCCACACGTAATAAGAACACATATTTGGAAGGATAAAAACGATGTCCACAAAGTTGTAAACTAGAAGATCTTCGTGTATGTTTTTACTCATGTTTTGAATGTTTGGGTGCTATTGAAAATAATGAAAATGCGTTATTTAGAACCACAACTTGATCTTTTGTTTTATATATGTTTTAAATTCTATCCAACTACAATGGTACTTGGCTGTGAGAAAATATCTGAAAAATTTAAAAATGTTATTTCCATCAAGACCACTTGTTTCTAATCATACTGAAGTCCTCTGAATAATACTCATATTAAATCGTTCAAAATTGAAGGCCTTCGGAAGGTATAAGATAAAGCATATCGTTAGAAAGAGCGTAATAAACCGATGACGAAGATCAAATCATCTCAGAAGAATATGGCTAAGTGCCCAAAAGAAATTTTTTAAGATCGATTTTCCAATAAGAATCTTCACTTTTGCTTTATCTCTGATCGATCTACTTTTTTATTGTTTTCGTTCTTTAGGCTCATGCGTGCAGATGCGTTTGTTCATATATTATGTGCATAGGTTTATAGAGGAAGAGAAAAACTAAATTTCGTGAAACTGACATTGATAATGTTCCACTTTTTCTGTAAAAAAAAAAGATATTGATATAAGCAAATTCTTCTAAATACGGAGACAGAATTCATAAGCAATTACATCGGAATATCAATACGTGAAAACTTTCGTATGAAAGGTGGGAGTACAAATTAAATGTTCAGTATTTTTTTTGTAAATTCTCACTAAAACTTTCTGAGTATTATATACACATTATCAGTAAAGAAATCCAGTTATGAGTGAAAAATTTGACTTTCAGTAATTATTACGTTTGCTCAGTAAATTAATCAAATGCTTAATATTAAACCAAAAGTGACAGTAAATAATTCTGTTTGTTCAATAAATGGATACATTTTTACCAGTATTCATTGTTTTCTTCATGGGTATGGGTGTAGGTGTGGGTGTGAATATGGGTTTGGGTGGGTGAGGGTGTAGGTATCGGTGTAGTTGGGTCTGGGTCTGGGTCTGGGTGTGGGTGTATGGATGTGCGTGTGGATATTCTACTTATACTCAAACCCACACCCATGATCCCGACCTCCGTAACTGCCGAAATTCGTAACGTTAACTGTCGTTTCACACAGTTTACGGCTCTAAGCTTACCATTTGGTAGTGACTGTATTACGGTCGTATTTTGTCGTATCACGAAAGAAGAAGAAGAATACCCTTGCCTTTTGTGCTACCTTTCAGTATAGGATGCTGTCCAAAGACAGTTTCGAAGGCTTGATATTTTTCCTATAACTATTACTAGCTGCAGCTCTGGACAGAAGGCCAGCCTGACGCAGAGTTCCTCCCGCTTAATTGCTTTAGCTTCCCATGCATGCTGACTAACCACATACTAGCCACAAGGACTTTGTGTATGTCAACAACGTAGTCAGTGTGCTATCGAATGGATGGTTCGAGACAAACAGCCGTTAGTGACTTGTCCAAGATCATTCTATGTCTGATGACCCCGAGGTTCAAACACACTATCTTGGGATATGTGTCGAACAGATTAACCATTCAGTCATAGCGGTCTTATCGTATCATATACGTTTAAGAACTGCCATTAACTGTCTGAAAACGGAGTATCTGATCATCTACGCTCATTTACAATACAATAAAAAAATGACGTAATAGACCGCTATCAAAAGGGTGAAATACCATAAAAAGGGTTATTAGTAAAATACGCTCTCACCCACTCTGAATACCGTTTCATTCGAGGATAGTATCAATGTATAGAGCATAAAATTCTCCATTCATGAGACCCTACTCTGGCCCATTTTGTTCAATCAGTCTTAGACAAAAGAATCAAATATCATTTTTATGAGTCCACTCTGACCCTCTCTCACCCAGATCTAAAAAAGAGAGTGTGGGTGTGGATGTGAGTGGCTGTAGACTGTGGGTAGGTGCGGGGCGTATTTGGGTTTTGTGTGAGGTATGAGTATGGGTGTGATGTAGGTATGAGCGTGGAACGTGGTAAGGTGTGGCAGTGACTGTTGATATGGGTGTGGATGGAGAGAAGATCCACATCCACACAGGCATAGACACTTCCATTTCCACGTCCTGCTCACGTTCATTGCTACATCTGCACCCACACCCACACCTTCAGTTTAAAAGAGTTGGATAAATTAGAATTTAAAACTTACACGATTAATTTTAATCCATTATTTACATTGCTCAACTTTAATAATATTCATACCGGTTAGTAAAGTTACCTCTAAAGTTGCCTTCTGTTTACATGAGGAGTATCACTGAACTGAAAAATGATTTTTTTTATCTTTTACCTCATTGAAACCCATAAAATACTAGTATAGGCAGTCTTTCTACAATAGTTGTTATCAGCTGAAAGATACATAAATATTCCTTGAGAAAAAAAGTATAGTTTGGGTCGGATCGAATCATCTGGTTCAGCTGCCCGTTGTGAGGCTTGTTATGAATTTATTGCCTTTTGCCTGTGAAGAAATCACTGAAAATGACAGTTGCTATTTGAATTTATATAGGACCTACAAGGACACCT